TCGTGGCACCGATGATGGCTGACCACAGACGGCATTTCTGGTGCCGGTCCGATGGTCCTTCAGGGAGACAGGAACCTGGAATACAGGGGTCTGATAATTCAGAGTGATCGCGACAGTGGGTAAGTCAATACTTACAGCATACCCTACTAGGTTCACACCTAGTCCCAACAGGGCTGCTTGTACGTCGCAGATGGCATTCACTCTGCCACCGTCAGGTCGACCAACGTTCCGCATAACGCTGCATTGAGGCTCAGCTATCACGCGAGGGGTGTCAACCTGTCGGAAACAGTCACTCAATTTATCACATGTCGTACCTCCTGTATCAACCATTACCTTCCAGGTCCCTTCTTCAACTGCAACACCTGCAGTACAAATCTCCAATCCCTGGGACCTCTTCTCGATGTTCACGGGAGCCATCATCCTTCGGGTCGTCCACTGATCCTTACTGAGAACACAGAGAGCACATAGGAGAACAAAACAAAATACCGATAGGAAACATTTGGTAAGTCGAGGGATAAGTTTCCTGAGCTTGTCATGTCCATAGCCGGCACCATCCACTAGCCTTGCTTGGACCAAAGAGGGCACTAGACCTTTAGAACATGCCTCACATACCTCTGACGTCTGGGGAATCTCTGGCTGGTCCACTACACGCTGTAACTTGCCATACCGCAAGCACACCTCAGCCTTCGCTCCAGACTCGTTGGTATCCGTGGGTGTCTGCACACGAGGCCTCTCTTCTTGCTCAGGTACCTCTGCCTTCTTAACTTCATGTTCCTCGTCGAGAGAATCAGGAGACACTGCTAGAATATCGTCGATCTGCGGGTGAAAGGACAAATTAAGTATGTTTACATCCGGGTCTGTCTTTACCAGGACATTACCATTGCCTGTTACCTCAGACCGTGCTGTTGCGGTAGACTCGTCCGCAACCTTGGGAAGATTGATGCTCCAATCTGTCACCAAGTCGTTGGCTAGTACCACGTCAATCCCAGCCACAGGGAGGGTATCGACTACTGCCAACACACATGTGCCGCTGAAATAAGGCGTGTCGAGATGTACTGGCACTAAGGGGGCGATGTACTGCGTCCTTGGAAACCCAACCAGGACAACCTCTTGTCTCCCGTTCACACTTACTCCCTCGGGTAACGAGCTCTTCACGATCAGGGACTGGGCTGCTCCACTATCTCTGAGCACTACAATTGATCTACCAGTATGATCACTCGTTACATACCCGGTTGAAGTGTGAGGGACCAACAAACTTGGTCCTTCCTGCGTCGTCGTCGACTGGCTTCCTGCTGGTGGTGTAACACAGCTCATCATCATCACCTCCCTACGTGCGCTGCCACCTCTTCTGCCTCGGCACCTAGCAGCTATATGCCCTCTCTGCCCACAAGTCCAGCACACCATATTCCTCCTCGGGCTCCGGTGTTTCGGACTGCTAGGACTTGTTCTTCGGGGGCTACTTGGGGGCGTCTTCTTAGCACTTCGTGGGACGAGAGTCTCTTCATCGTCCTGAGGTCTGTCAAACCGGCGCTGGTAATTCCTTGGGACGTACTTAGCAGACGGCCTATGAGTCAGGATGTACTCTTCAGCCATGGTGGCTGCCGTACTCAAGGTCTCTACCTGCTGTTCCTCTAGGTACGTCTTCAGGTCTCCAGACAAACAATCCTTGAAGTCCTCGAGCAGAATCAGCTGCTCGAGGTCTTCCCTGGTCTCCACCTTCCGAGAGGCACACCATTCTTGAAAAAGTCGCTCCTTGATGGTGGCGAATTCGGTGAAAGTGTGCTCTGAGGTCTTCTTCAGGTTTCTGAACTTTTGCCTATATGCCTCAGGTACCAATTGGTACGCCATGAGCACCACTTTCTTCACCATATCGTAATCGCCGGAGTCGTCAAGGGATAACGTAGAGTAGGCAATTTGGGCCTTCCCAGTCAAAACTGACTGTATCATGATGGCCCAATTCTCCCTTGGCCACTCCAAAGAGGCAGCGACTTTCTCGAAGGCTGCGAAGAACTTCGAAACTTCTCTCTCGTTGAATTTGGGGACCATTTTGATATTCCTTACCGGATCAAAACCGCTTACTCCAGTTTGTCTCTGTCCAGCGCCTAGTCGTAATACTTCTAGTTCATGTTGTCTCTGTCTTTCCTCCCTTTCTCGCTCTCGTTCTTCTCTCTCTCGTCTCTCTTCTCTTTCTCGTTCTTCTCTCTCTCTTTCTCGTTCTTCTCTCTCTCTTTCTCGTTCTTCTCTTCTTTCTTCTCTTTCTAATTCTAAACGCCTCATCGCCAATTCTTTTTCTTTCATCTCCATTTCTTTATTTTTCATCTCCACTTCTTTATCTTTTAATTCTCGTTCTACTTCTAACTTCTTCCACTCTATCTCGCGATTGATCTCTAGGGCACGCATTTTGACTGTTAGGAAGCTGATATTAAGCTCACCTGCATCACTGTCAATGTCACTGCCCTTATCTTCCTTTTCTGTGGAAGCTATTTCCTCACCTTCCCTTGTACTAGGAGTCTCGCCTTCCTGTTTCTCTTCTGCCTTCAGGTGCCGGTGAACCTTGGACAAGATCTCTACACGGGAATCACTGGCACGGATCTTGATCTCCAGGTAGGCGCTCACTAGTACAAGTTCCGGTTTGCTCAGATACTTTAATCTGGCAAGACAGTCCACTCTGTTCAGAAAAGCCTGAACATCGTCCAGATCATCGATGGTAGCTTTGTCTGCCATTGTCACAGATGGAACACTTTGCACTTAACACCTTGCTTACACGTTAGCACTTAACACACCGAGCACTGTTCTACGTCAATATTGCACTTTAACGCACCAAACTCTGCACTTGCCAATACTGCACGTAATCACTCCGGGCACCGCACTACCCAATATTGCACTGAGTCCAAGCGAACACTTCGCTCTACAATATTGCACTGAATCACTGAGCACCGCACTAGTCAATATTGCACTTAATCGCTTAATCACAGCGAGCACCGCACTGCACAATATCACACTTAGTCACTCTTGAGCACCGCACAGGACGTATAACGTCACAATCGTCACACACAGGGGGAATTATATACAGGGATTACGCCACTTCACCACCCCTGTCAAACATACTTAACAAGGGGACGGATCCCGCTGGGGATGCCAATTATGTTACGGCCCTCTCGGGACGCAACAGGGTTCTTACTCTGATGTCGTTAGAGGAAGATATATATCCGACCCCAAGCCAGTAGAGGCTTTCAAGGGATGCGATCCGTGACGCAAGTAACTTAAAGGGAGTATGGAAAGAAAGTTAAGAACTTAATATAATATAATGTTCACCATCACCATTTAAATATATAATAAATAAAGCGTACACAAGGGGGAGGGGTATTAACACTTTACAAAGGGGATCATGCACAATCTAGTCTTCTGCTGAAGACTATGGATCCTCGAAGCTAGGTGCTGAGTCCGCGGTGCTTTCTTCGTGGCCTCAAGACGTGTCCTCTGAGAACGCCGAGTCTACCCTGGCCACAGGTCAGCCACAACACAGGTCCACTGGGGGCACCGTCGTGGAGGCCGTCAACCACACGTCCAGCAGGTCTGCTGGCAGGTACTGAGCCACCAAGGCTGGTACGGCCACTCCACGAACGATAAAAGGGGTACGCCCTAGACAGGAGTCTCGTGTGATATCACCAATCACCCTCCTGTCCTCAATACCCCAGTGGATTATCGTCTCCAACCGTCGGTCCCGGGTAAATCCTTCCACTGCCACTCCACAGGCAGGCTTAACACACCACAGTGTTCTTCCGGGGGGACGACGTCACGACAGCTGCAGCAAACTTCACTGTATGGAGACTGGCTGCCTCGGGTAGACTCTCTCCACCTTCAACACAGTGGTCCCAGGTCGGCTCTGTAAGCAGACACGTCATCAATAACAGGGACACTAAAACACCACACTTACAGCCTCAGACACAAACACCTGACGTATCCAGTCCATAGATGGCGCTGTCGTCGGAGCACCACCTCACCAGAGGTCAGGGGCGGCGGTGTTGAGCGCTGAACCAGACTGGACACTGGTCCTCGAGGCCACTACACGCTGTCCTCACCAGGTGTCGTTGTCCGTTTGGCGGGGGTTTCGGGAGCTGACTCACAGATGGCGTGGTTGTCACTGCTCTAGGGTCGGACGCTGGATCCGGGTTCGTAACAATAATGTTTCATCGATAAATGTAAGAAAAACATTTGCCGACGTATTAATTGATCTTCAAAACAGTGAAATAATTATTATAAAATGTGCTTCAATTACTTGGCCCTCAATAAATAAAGTGGAAAACTTTAATTTAAAACATTTTGAAGATGTTAAGATTATTTTAAGTATGAATGACTGGGAACGAAATTATGTATTGGTAAATAAGTACCTTTCATATGAATTTGCAGACATTAGTATTAAACCTCATTTAAAATCTTTAAATATTTTAACAGAAGATATAGGGAGTATCAATTCAGAAAAATTGAGAGCAAATCTACTTGATACTTGGAACAATGAAATACCCCCTATATACCCTTCTGAAGTTCTCCCAGAGAGTGAATATACTGTTACTGAAGTAAATAGCAACAAACGCAGCAGTGAGTCACAATCAGGTTCAATTGGCATGCCTTCAAAACATAGGAAGTATTACTGCCTGGTGTTATAATGGATACTGCTCATTGGGAAGCGTGTCAAAGAAAAGAATATATATGTGTGTGTGTATGTATATGTATGTATGTATATATATATATATGTATGTGTACCTATTTTAGTTTATATAAAATATAGGATGGAAGAACATGTACGTAGTAAATTAATCTCTTTTTTACTCAAAATTCAATAATTTCATTCGTTTATTATGCTATGATAGTGAACATAATGTTAAAATAAATATTTTATTTATTTATTTATATATTTTTTTCAGATAATTGAACCCTTTTTGATTAAAAATCCAGGACGTTTTACATTGTTCCCAATTAAAAATCATGATATCTTTAAAATGTATAAGAAGGCGCTAGCATCATTTTGGATAGTTGAAGAAGTAGACTTGTCAAAGGATATTGTAGATTGGGAACAGAAACTTAATGACGAGGAACGTCACTTCATTTCACATGTTCTAGCATTTTTTGCCGCATCAGATGGTATCGTCAATGAAAATCTTGTTGAACGTTTCTGCCAAGAGGTACAAATACCAGAAGTGAGGTGTTTTTATGGTTTTCAGATTGCCATGGAAAATATTCACAATGAAATGTACAGTTTACTTATTAATACATACATAAAAGATTTACAGGAGCAGAACAGATTATTTAATGCTATTGAAACGCTGCCAGCTGTTAAGAAAAAAGCTGATTGGGCTCTAAGGTGGATTACCAATAGAACGGCAACATATGCCGAACGCATTGTTGCCTTTGCTGCAGTAGAGGGTATTTTCTTTAGTGGTTCATTTGCTGCAATATTTTGGTTAAAAAAACGTGGTTTAATGCCAGGTCTAACCTTCAGTAATGAACTGATTTCTAGAGATGAAGGGTTACACACAGATTTTGCTTGCTTGATATTTAAGTACTTGATTAATAAGCCTGATCAGAAATATGTATATTCTATCATTGATAATGCTGTGAAGATTGAACAAGAATTTTTAACAGATGCCTTGCCAATCAAACTTATTGGTATGAACTGTGATCTAATGGGGAAGTATATAGAATTTGTGGCTGACCGACTTCTCTTTGAACTCGGTTTTAAGAAACTTTATAATGTAGAAAATCCATTTGACTTTATGGAAAATATCTCATTAGAAGGGAAAACTAATTTTTTGAAAAAAAAGTAAGTGAATATCAAAAATATGGTGTAATGAATTCAGATCAATACAGTGTTTTTACATTAGATTCAGACTTTTAGTTAATTAGTTGATGGATGGAATAGAACATGTTTTTTTTATATAGAATATAAATAATTTAATATAAAAATAAAAATATATATCTATTATCTTTTACTATTTTACTTATCATATTTATATTTTGACTTGATGAATAATGAATTAAATACCTTACATTCTCTCTTTCCACTAATTACAAGACTACAAAATATGAGGTATGTAATTATGGACATAATAACAAAACCATAATCTTCTTTATAAAATATCAACATATCACATGATTACCAAGCAGTACTACTATCGTCCGATGTAAACACCAAGTTTGGTTATCGCCATTGAATCAACTTTTCTATTTTATATTCACCAATGAATATAATTCAAAGAGAGAAATGAATCATTACATTAAGTTCCATGCAATATGCCGGTGATACAATATATAAGAGCCTCCGTATCCAGTCCAGTCAACCAGTATGCCAGAATCCTGTTCAGTAGTAATACGGGCTACTGTGTAATGGAGCTATCCAAGGAATCTTGTGGTGTAAGTACCTAAAAGTTATTTTATGATAAGCATGATGAAGCTTTGGACACTATATTATAATAAATAAATAAATAATGTCTCAGGTGCATTTGTGATGACATCTAATCTTTCTAGGATGATATTAGCGATATCAGTGAGGGAGCCGAAGAGAAGAAGATAAAAGAGAAAAAAGATACTACTTCAACTAGCAAGTCTATTATTGTTAAAATAGAAAACCATATCCATTCCAATGATGAAAATGTGGCTTTGAGAAAGTTGGTTAATATAACGCCTGAGACTATATCAAAAAAACAACGTTATTGTGAAATTAATACTCAAAGTTTATTACAAATATTAGAATGGTTTGCTAACCACGATGGAACCAATGTGTTGCTGTATGAATTTGCCCACAGTGCATCATGTCAAAAAAAAACTTGTACCCCGATTTGTCTAATGTTTCGCCGGGTTCGTCATCATGTAGTAGTTTCTAGACATCCACATTGTTCGGTGTTAATCTTATATTCAACCCTCTTGCATACACATGTGTCTTCATGTGTTAATGATGATTGTGGGTTGCCTGCTTGTCATAGACTGAAAACCACCAGATCAACTATAAAGTTTCGTCTTGCCAAAAAGAAGTGTGGTTGTTAACTCAATGTTGTCTGCTGGATATATATTATTGTTAAAATTTTTAATTCGACCTATCAACAGAAGCGCATTATGATATTGATTGAAGTGTTTTTTTTTTCCATAATATTTGACAAACGAACTTCTGTGAAGAAAAGACGCTTTCCTATTTCTGCAATGGAGGCCTGTCGCTGGATATTTATTGATTTGTACTAGTTAGTGATATGTTTTATTGAATGTTTTCTTCATACCACTGACTAGTTACCACTGACTAGTTAAATTAATATATATTTACAAACATAAGGCAATTGTGATCTGTTGTAGGTCATTTGGTGAGATGGTGTGTTAAATGGTTTCACCATAATGTGTGAGGATTCGATGAACATTGTTTTTATTTCACTGGTCGAATCAAATAGGGGCAATCATCAGTTTCAGATGCTTCACCAACAACCGGGCTCATCATCAATGGCATTACATATTGCAATCTGTGCTCCTTCCTACTTCAATAATGAAAATGATGAGGTCTTGCGAAAGTGGAATCAACTTCAAGCTTTTTGGGGGTTTGGTAAAGGTAAATATGTGGATTTTATTTTTTTTCAATGTGGTAGTGAGTAAACCATTATGGAAAACTTAGTAGATTTGACTAGTTGTTTATAATATTGTAAAATGTATATAATTAAAATAAAGTATAATTTTATGAATTTTATTCCAGGTTATTATTCGTCCAATATGTCACCTGTAGAGTTCACATCTGAAAATCCATATTGTCGTTTCAAAGTAGTTTGCTATACAAAAATTCCCAATTATCGTAATGAAGATGGTATTGTGCAAATTATAATTGGAAGGGGCCTTTCAGAAGTGGAGTAAGTAATTAATATTCATATACTTGTATAATATTCTAATAATTTTCAGTGTTAAATATGACTAGGATCCGGGAACATTAAAAAATGTTTTTTTTTTTTTTTTTTTTATTCTTCCAGGGCCTACAAACAGGAAGTTATTTCAGCATTGAGTCTATTATTCGGAGGTAATGAAGTTGTTGTTAATGAAATTTTTGCTGCTGAAGTACCAAACAAAACGAACTTCAGATTTTACATTCAGCAAGTTTTTCCTAATGGTAAAAGAATTTAAAGATTTTATAATGTTTTCCCTAATAATAATTATCATAAAAAATGATTTCAAGTATGGTATTATGCAAACTGCTCTATATTATAATATACCTTCTAGGAGAGATTCAACGTGCATCTACCACTGACACCTTTAGTCATATGTTAAGAGCATCATACAATTCAATTTTTAAGGTAAGCCTAAGTAAGCCTTATTATAGCTTGCACCAATATATTTAATGGGAATTGATATCAGGTTGGCTTAAATAATCAAATTAGCTTAAAAGGGACATTATTAATGGAACGTTTTTTGATAGACAGGCAGGTAGATAGCCAGAGACAAAAATGCCTACTTTTTCTGTTTCAGAATTTGTTTATTGAACAGATTATTCCAATGTTGACTTTAACTGAACAACAAATGAAGAAATATCTTGATACACCGCAAAGAGGTAAATGATTTTGATATGACCAATCCATCTACTTATCGTGACATAATGACAAAAGTGAAGATATTACAGGGTATTTTTTTCCTACATTTGTGGAATTAAAAATTAAAATAAATTATTTATTGTTTATAGGAATTGATCCAGCATTGTGGGAACTGGGCAAGCAAAAAAATCCTGACCCAAAGAAATTGATACCTGTTGTAAAAGTGGGATTTCAGGAATTACAGAAACAGGTCAAGTATCAAGAAGAATATGGTAATAAAATTCATAATAGTATGAAGAATATTATGGATGATATAAGACAATTAAGTTGTATGCAGACGACAATTAAAGTTACCATTCAGAATTTTAAGTTGAAACAGACAAATATAATGCGCCGAGTTCTAAAATTGGTGTCAGCACAAGAGGTTGAAAGGAAAAAATATCTACCACTAGAAGAAATAGAGGATCAGATTCGACTGCGATTAGAAAACTTGTATATGCAGCTGCAGGACCTCAAGGGATGTTTGAATGAACTAATGGCTCAGTCTATAAAGCCTGGTAGTTTTCCGCGAGCCCAACGGTATGGACTGGTTGTTGACAAAGTGCAGGATATATCACAATACCTAAAATGGCAGCAGGATGCACTTCAGGCTATAGTTAACATACTTAAGGAAGATATACAAGTGGTCGTTAACATAAAGAAGAACATCAGCTAAGTTTTGAGAGTTAAGGAAATTGGCTAACCGTCAACCAACTTCCCCAAACCACATTCAAACATTGGTAATTAACCCTATCATTGTTTAACACCTCCCTCCACCCTTTCAGGGAGGGTATGATGCTACACTGAATTTTTTTTGGTTCGTAACCAGCAACACACATTGAACTGATGATATTTCACTCTCTCAGGGAGGGTATGATGCTACACTGATTTTTTGTTTGTAACCCGCAACACACACATTGAATTGATGATAGTCAATAAATTAAATTTTAGTCTAGTTCCTTTTTTTTTTTTTTTTTCACATACAATAAGTGCACTCTGCCCATTAGGCAAAGTATTATAATAATTTTGCTAGATATTGATGACACTGACATTTTAACGGAAACTTAAAATAATTGACCTAGAATGTAACAACAATGTTTGTGTTGTCTTACAGGAATAATTTAGTCAAATAAGCACAAACTGTAAACTGCCAGCTTAACCAAGAAAGCCTGCCAGTAATTGGTCAATATAAAATATTCAGCGTGTGAGGGTTAATATCAGAGTCAGTCGATTTTGCTCCAGCATGGAGGACACACCTACAATTTCCTCTCCATTAACATTTGGACAGAAACAACAAGAAAGAAGTGATAATAACGATACTAGTGTTGATGAAGAACCATTACCTTCATCATCCACGTCTTTACCTTTGGGACAAAAAGTTAATGAAGGGTGTGAGAGAGAAGAAGAGGTGATACAAAAAAAGGAATTTGAATTAAAAATTAGCCAAATGTTGGAAAAAGGTGGGCATGGAAGCCGGAAAATTTTCACTCGAGAAAAATTAGCCCAATACATCGAGGAAGTCAAAAATGCTAAATTGAAACTGACTACAAAGACCTCTCATGAATATGATCTATTGTCTCGATATGATGTCAAAAATCTATTTGGGGATGACGTCTTAGTAACCATCGACGAAACTGAACGAAGAATGAAGCGGGGGACCAAGCGTAAACTGACCAGTGACAATCGTCATTCTACTACGGCTGTAACAACAACAACAACAACAGGAACAACAACAGCTGATCCTGGCCGGATGTGTCGTCGTTTCATACATCAAGGGCAGTTGTATGATACGATTTATGATGCACACAGAGCAGTTTGTCACGGAGGAGAAAAAAGAACTTATTTTGAAGCAAGTAAAACTATCGCTAACGTCACTCAACAATCGGTGAAACTCTTTATTTCACTCTGCCACATATGCAATTTGAAACGACTTCCTCGACGAAAAAAGGGGGTAATACGGCCCATTGTATCGACCAGTTTTGCGGAGCAAGGACAAATGGATTTAATAAATATGCAAAAAGAAGGAGGATGTGTGTATAAATATATTTTACATTATCAAGATCATTTAACAAAGTTTTCGGTTTTACGAGCTCTTCGCAGTAAACGGGCGATTGAAGAGGCACGCCACTTACTCGATATATTTGCTCTCTTGGGAGCCCCACGAATTCTGCAGAGCGATAACGGCCGTGAATTTGTGGCAGAGGTGATTCAAGAGCTAAAAAACGAAATGTGGCCCAACATGCTCCTCATTAATAGCAAACCTCGTCATCCACAGAGCCAAGGGAGCATTGAACGTGCGAATGGGGATGTAATCAAAATGCTTGGCAGTTGGATGTGTGAGAATCAAACGCGAGATTGGTCAGCTGGACTTCCCTTTGTGCAATTCACCAAAAACACAGCATATTCACGTGGAATTGGCATATCGCCTTACAAGGCAGTTTTTGGTATAGAACCGCCAATAGTTATGAAGATTCGTCTTTCGCCCTCAATATATAGCCAATTGTTCAATAACTGTCACTATGATGACAATGAAGAAGAAGAAGAAGAAGAAGACAAAGAGGAAGAAGAAGACAAAGAGGATGAAGAAAAAAGAGGCAAAGAAGCAAAGGTAAAATTCCTTAATATTTATTGGTTTTGTTTTCAGTTCAACCTTGGAAAACAAAAGTCCTCAATTAATTTCTGTATACTAAATTTTTTTTTTTTTATATAATTGCAGTATTCCCTGTCATCATCAAGTCCGCTGCTGCGTCAGATTTCTTCACCGTTGCCAGACATGGAAGAAATAATTTTTGAGGAGGTTACTGTTACTGTTGCTGCTGGTGCTACAACTGCCTCTACTTCCATATTATCCCTGCCACAAATACCGCCACCTTCATTACCCCCTATATTATCACCACCTGGTATTGTGCTGTCGCCTAAAGTAATAATAAATAGAAGATTATGTAATTTAGAAGATGGTAAACCTAATGATAATAATAATTCTGAAGTAAATAACGATTCATATAATTTACATATTGAAAATTTAGGAACTATTAGAAGCAAAGTTTATGAGCGTCAGATAACTAATGCCTCAAAAATGTTACAATTGTCATCGGCAAATGTAACACCTGTTAGCCTATATGATACTGTTAATGTGATAATACCTAAAGAAGATAAGGAAAACAAAACAGGAATGCGAACAATCAGTGGAATTATCATCGAAATAGACAATGAAAGAGATTTATATCGTGTAGCTACAAAATTTGGAACAATTAATCAATATCTATCAAGAAACGATTTTGATAAAACAATCGAAAGAATAATGCCAAACGAAATTAATAAGAATCAACAACTTGGGCTTCGTGAGATTGTTCGTAGACAATCAAATTACTTTCTCAGTGATAATAGGCACTTGAAACAATTAGTATGCCACTGTAAACTTTTATCTTGTTTAAATCATAGATGTATTTGCAAAATAAATAATCAGAAATGTACCCAAAAATGCCGGCATAATGAAAATTTATGTAAAAACTCATAGCACCAAAAAGTAAAATGCCGTTTCGCTCGTTTTTCAATATATATATGGTTGGTTTGGTTTAAATACTCATCAGTAAAGAATTATATTTTGTA